GAAAAGCGCTTTTTTTTTTTTTTTTCCCCCCCCCCCCCCCCCCCCCCGGTTACTAGAGATGGCGTTTGGGAGGAGGGCGGGAAGGAGGGCTGCTGGTGTTGCAGGCCTGGGAGCTGATGGAGATGATAGGAGTTGGCCCTTGTTCACAGTATGGATTCTGAACTTCAGCAAATCTTGTAGCAAAGGCAGCGGATCTCTCTGTCTTGAAGCATCCTGGGAATTAATTTTTTTCCTCTGTGTGACCTGGAAATAGTAGCTGATGAAATAGCTCTCCGGCTTGCCAGTGATCTTTAGTACAGTATATTTTCCTTACATAGTATCTGTATATGTTTTTGCTTTTTTTGTTATCTATACATCACCCTGTTGTGTGTGAGAGTCAGTAGCTGCTGCTACTTTCTGCTTAACCCTTCTTGCCGTGGCTTCCAGCAAATAAGCATGTGCTTTTGTATGTCAGAGACTAGATGTTTTCCTATTTTAAAATGTCTGCTTGAGGAAACTGGATATGTTTGGGGCTGATTACAGCTTTCTGCATCAGAAGTTTAACATTTCACATTCTAATTCTTGCCTTTTGTTGTTTTTGGCTTTCTTCTAGGCTACGGAGAGCTAAATGGTAACGCAGGAGAAAGAGAAGTGTCATTAAAGGGCCTGTGCTCTGATGAAACCACCGCCCCAGGATCCAGGGTACCCAATGGCAGCCAGCAGCTCGTAGACACTAACGTGACCCCAAAGCAGTCTGTGAAGGCCAGTGCTTTGGGGAAAGCTGGAATCAAAACCAAGAACTTCATTCAGAAAAATAGCATGGACAAAAAGAATGAGAAGTCCTACGAAAATAAACTTAGAGAAAGCCAGTCCTCAGACAAGCCAGAGGGAGTGTCTATTCCAAACGGTGTGGTAACCAGTAATTCTAGCTATATCACGAATGGCTACGTAGGCAAAGGTGCCGATAACGATGGTAGCGGCTCAGAGAGTGGATATACTACACCTAAAAAACGGAAAGGCAGGCGCAACAGCGCCAAGGGTTGTGAGAACTTGAATCTAGTACAGGACAAAATAATGCAACAGGAGGTCAGTGCACCAACCTTAAAACAGGAACTTGAGAGTTTCAAGCCTGATTATACTGAACAAAAGGGGAACCGAATTGAAAATACTAAGCCTGTTTGGAAATACGAGGCTGGGACTGGTGGAGCAGGCCGGGGAAAGCCTGGGCTTGGGGATGTGCAGCGAAAAAACTCTGATGCCAAACCTGGGATTAGCAGCAAGAAGTTTGATGACCGGCCCAAAGGGAAGCATGCATCATCTGCTACGTCTAAAGAGGATTCGTGGACCTTATTTAAACCACCCCCAGTTTTTCCAGTGGACAACAGCAGTGCTAAAATTGTTCCCAAAATAAGTTATGCAAGTAAAGTTAAAGAAAACCTCAACAAAGCGGCTCAAACCCCATCCACATCGTCTTTGTCATCTTCGTCATCTGCCGGGGAAGCTCAGGCCCAAACATCAAGTCGACTGTCCCAAGTCCCCATGTCTGCTATGAAATCTGTTACTTCTGCTAGCTTCTCGAATGGGCCGATTCTAGCAGGGACTGATGGAAGTGTGTATTCTCCAGGGACCCAGCCACTGCTCTCAACTGCTGCTAGTACCGTACCATCAACCTCCTCTGAGTCAGTACCCCAGGACACGAGTACAACTTCAACAGCTCTCGAACAAAAGAAATCTAGCCTTTTTATCTACCCTTCAAATATGCAAACTGTGCTTCTGGGTACAGCGCAAGTCGATTTCCCGTCACAGGCGAATCAGCAGAACCTGGGAGATATCTTCCAGAATCAGTGGGGCTTGTCTTTCATAAACGAGCCCAGTGCTGGCCCTGAAACTGTTGTGGGGAAATCTGCAGATAATCAGTTAACGGAAGTGACATTTCAAGGGGAATATCCTGCCACTTTGGTTTCACAGTGTGCTGAAATCATTCCCTCAGGAACTGAACAACCTGTGTTTCCTAAGGCTTACGAGCTGGATAAACGGACTAGCCCTCAAATTCTTAGTGCTATTCTTAAGCCTGGGACTGCTGTTGAGGGTGGTGTCTTAGCTTTGGAGTCGCATCACACAGGTGACCTACAAAAGGCAGACCCCGGTAGCCAAGGTGCTTTAGTGTTTCTTTCAAAAGACTATGAAGTAGAGAATCCTCTGGCCTCTCCTACGAACAATTTGCTAGCCTCCGCCAAAGAACAGAGGTACCAGAGAGGCCTAGAAAGGAAAGATAGCTGGGGTTCTTTTGACCTGAGGGCTGCTATTATATATCACACTAAAGGTAATGGCTTAACTTGCTGCCTAAGGGCATTCTCTTCTCTTTTTTTTTTTTATTTTATTTTTAAGTGCAATATTCTAACATGATCTATTCCTTACAGCAATTCTGATTGTTTTAAAAATGAGCTTTTTGCTTGCGTATCTCTAATGGCAATAACGGTTTGGGAAAGTTATTCAAACGGTTGTTTAATTAATGTTAAGAGGTATTTGTTTCCGTGTTCCTTTGGACAAGCGTAAGTGATGTTGACAGGGATAATAGTTAGCTAGCGTGTTCTACATTTTAATTCCTACGGAAGGAGGAGGTCCTCCTAAGCTTCTCGGCATTGAAGGAGTTAAATGTGTAGGTTCACCTGCTCTGTTCCAGCTTTACCAGGTGATATTCTGTCACTGAAAAGGCTTCATAGTATGTCCTCACACCTCTACCACCAAAGTGTTGCAGCTTCTCCCCTGGGCAGATCAGGCCATGAAATCCTGGCTCTGAAGGAAGAAAAAAAATATATTCCTACAGCTTTTCATGGTGTGACTGATTTTATTTTTTTTAAGTGAACTCCACAAACACTTTTCCCGTGCCCTTCTTGAGTATTATGGCAACAGCAAGACAAATCTTTGCTTATCAACTCTTCTGTAAGCTGCAGATTGAATTCTCTCGTTGTCTTTGTAGGCCAAATCTTTCAGATGATCTTATTGCTTTCGTGGAGTCCTTTGTAGTCCAGCTCCTTTTTTTCCTGGGTTGTTGGGTTTTTTTTGAGACTGAAATGACTCAAACATGATACAGATGCTTTAAACTGGGAATGAAGAGAGGGAAGTCTGAGGGACGCCTTGCTTTCTGCTTCAGGCTCAGCCCCAGAAGCTCTACGGTCTTGTGGCAGTTCTTGGCTTTTGGTCCTGGCTCGGCATGGAGGGGAGCCCGGCAGCATGTTCCCTTTTGGCACGGTGTTATTACCCACCCCTGACAAACACAGGGGCAGTTCCTTTTTTATTCGCCTCCCCCTTCCCTCTCCCTGCATCCCCCTACCTGAAGGGAAAAAGGTGATCATCCGTTTTTTGTTTACTGTTCCACATACATACGCGGATAACGTCTTGCTCCTCTCTGCAGAGGAGTTGGTATTTGCATGGTGTTGGCAAATTTGGTGTGTTTTGACCCGCTGCAAAGTTCTTAAATTACCTGTTCACAAACTCTTTGTATAGCATACAGAAACTTAGATGCCTTCCTTTAGTAATAATAATCCCAGTCATTTAAAAATAACTCCAAATATTTTTTCCAGGTTATCACACTCTCAAGATGTTAACGTTTTAAGTTCTTGAGAACAGCGTTCATCAATTGATTTTATCTGGGTCTTCGTCCTCTGCTGTCTGCTCGGTCTATTCCAGTATTAAAGCAAGCTTTCCGTTCTCATTTCTTGTGTCTGCCTGCAGCCTAAATCCCAGTTTCTCATCAGAAAATGGGGGTACCAGAAAGCGTGGTGTAGAAGGGAAGGCCTAGGCAATCCTTTTCTTAAGTTGGCAAATTTTCCCAACGCTTAAGTTTGTCTCTTTCTTGTTTTTGTCAGCCTGAACTTTCATGTAGAAAAGGAACTCTGTACAGCCACAGCAAGACTCATCAGCCCTCCTTTTCTCTCGCTAGCTGTGTGAAAGACAGACCCCAGTAAAACAATAGTAACAACAGGAAAATAAAGAACACTCCCTTCCCATGTCCTCTTAAGGAGGTGTTAACTTCAAAGTCTGGCTGTGTTTAGTTCTTTTAAACACAGGAGTTAATTACATTCAATAGCAAGAATGGACACCTAAAGCACTCTTTAAAATACCGTTTTCTGCTCTTTCCTTGCCTCTGCATGTGAATGCTCTTGCTCTGAGCATCCAGAGCAAGCACCCTTGTGATGCCCTGGGGAAACGGGTTCCTGCCCCACCCCTCCCCTGTGCCGATTTGTTTTTCAAGCTGTATGTGTGCCAACTTCAAGGTGTTACTTAGGGTGAAAGATGGTGGATGTTTCTAATCAGTGTTGTCATTAATGCAGTGATGGGGTGCTCCAAACAGCTTGAGCTTGTCTTTCTCCTACTTAGTCTTCAGTTGCTATTGCTGGTTTACAAAGCAGGAGATCAGGTCTTAGTACACCTTCTGTAATGATGTTGAGCGTTGCATTTCTGTGTGTGTTGGAGTCCATTGGGGTGAGTTGGGTTAAGGGGTATTGGGAGGAATCCAATACTCTGCCCCAAGCAGGTGGAAAACGCTGTCCCCTCTTCATGGCCGTGATCGTGCAGCCAGAGCCCCCTCCTGAGGCACAGCGTGCTGCCAAATGTCTAGAAAATGGAGCTGCCAGCGTGTGTTTGCAGGACAGCGGTGCGGTGGTTAATTCCCACACCATTCTCTCCGTTTATCTTGGGCTGTTTTCCTGAGGTCCTACTCTTAGCCAACCAGTTCCTCTGCAATAGGAAAGGAATGATTTCACTCGCTTATTTTTCACGAGCTGCCTTCCCCTCCTCCCCGCTCGGGAGAGCGTGTGGGTTTGCCTGGGCCAGCATTAGGGTGTCCCGGGCAGCTGGATACTCGGATTGTTTGGTTTTGATTTTGAGAGGAGGGTGAACTTCTCCCTCTTCAGATTGATCTGTTTGCTTTTGAGCAAAGTCTTGATAGTTTGATCTTCAAATCTGCCCTGCCTCTGGGGTTATGGACACAAAGAGAAGTGATTGCGGGGCAAGGACAGGGGTGAGCGTGGAGCACCGGTGGGGTCCCTACCCTGAGCTCTTCCGTGTGCATTAGCTCAGTGCAATCTGCCCATGGTGCGACGATGAGGCTCTGGGTGTTGCAGTGAGGAATGGGCTCTAGCATGAGCGGTTACAGTGCTTTGACCTGTCTGTCGCAAGCTTGCATCCTTGTTTGCACTGTTTGTGTCTGTAGCTGTGATCAGGTTATGTGGATCCTCATCTTGGACTGTAAATAGGCTGTGGGAAAGCCTCCAGCTTACTCAGTAGCTTTGTTCCAGTAAACCAGGCTTTCCTGTGCACGGTTTGCCCGGTGACTGCGAGGGGCATTATAGATTGTAATTGCTTCACAGCTTCCCTGGGAAAGGTTGGATGGAGGAGGTAACGCACAGGGTGGGCTGGCACTGGTACAGTAATCCTGTTTCAATCACCGCAGCACCGTGTGTGCTGGCAAGGCTGTGCTGGGGTGTAAGGCTGGGTGACCGCAGAGCGGAGCGAGGTCCTGATAGAGGAAGCTGTGCTCATTTGCATATACCCAGATTGCTTTTTCCCCAGAAGTCAGGGCACTGGGAACATGCTGGCAAGGCTGATGGTGCGCCCTCCTGTTCTTCTCTTGGATGCTTTTTGTGCTGGTTTTCTCTGTGCCCCTGCTCCATGCCTTGCTTTTTTTATTATTTTCTTTTTGAAGGGCAGAAGGACTCCCTTGATCATCTGATCTGCCTGTCTGTAAAACACGATCGTTCAACGTGGCTGCCTTCATTGGCAGCACGTGCTGCTCAGTGTTTGTGACGGTGCCTTGAAACACTCGCAGGTGACATCCCTAATTTAGCAAGGTAGATCTGTAGTTGAGCACTGGTGGGCCTACTGTTTATGTGGTTGGAGACAGGGACGGTAGCTCAGTATGGAAGACTGGAAGGACCAGGAAGGAGCAATGCTCTTGCTTAGGGACATTGTCCCTATCTAGGTTAGAACTGAACCTCTGCCTCTGTGTGGCGTTGCCAAAATCCTCATCTTTTTGAGGTAAAACTGGTCCTTGCAGATTTTTTGGTCCTTCAGAAGAGGAGGCTGGGTGTATCTCAGCTTTACTTCTATTGAAATCAGTATCTTCTTACTGCTTCAGTCCTCCTTTTAAAGACAGCTGGATGAAACATTTCACACCGGAATAATTGTCAATGCTTTGCAGAATTTCATCGTGTTTGGGCAGTTGCAGTCTTCCAGGCCAGGCTGTCTGTCACTAACACCGGGCTCTGTATGGCAAACTTTGTGGTGGGAAGCTCGGTAGTTTGCTTGTCCTTAGCTAAAAAGCAAATAATGGAGGTCTCCAGTCCAGCTGCACAGTAGCAAAAGACCACATAGGTGGAGGAGAGGAAACTGCAGGGTTTCCCTCTTCTGTCTTGCCCCCAAGTTTCTGCCTGTGCCGCTGCTTTGTTCCTTCTCGGTATCTCGGTTGCGCCAGCATCTCTGCTTGCATGAAGAAGCAGAAGAGCAGCATGGAAAATAGAGCAAGGCAGCGTGGGCCAGCCAGGAGTGGCATTCGCCGGAATGGTGAACTGGGTCAGAAGAAATAGCAGAGCTGTGAATTCAGCAGTTTTCATCCTTTACATCAGGAGAGGGAAAAATAAAAGCCTTGGTTTCCCATCCCCCTTGGTGGGGAGGGGTTAAATCTCAGTCTGTTGCTTTTGGTCTTGTGGGGCCTGAGCTGTGGGGCAAAAGCTGATTTAATTCTCCTTCAAGTCTCTTCTGCTTTTTCCAGTTGTCAGGATGGGTACAATGTATTTGGTACAGCGATGAGTCTCCACAGTATTGAATTTTTAGTCTTTGCTTTGTTTCCAGGGCAATCCCCTAACTTAATTGTTGTGTCCTGCAGATAGAAACAGAAAAGTCAGACGAGGATGGTCCCTCTTCGTTATTTTTTTTTTTTTAGCGGTTCATTTTAGGGACAATTGTCAGTTTATGTTAGATTTATAAGAACAAAGAACTAGTACCGTGGCATTGTGCAGACACTTCTTTTTGCAGGGGCAGCCTCTCTAGCAAGGAAAATGTGTGTAAAAGTGCCTGTCTTAACAAGTTATCACAGAAATACTTCCCCTGCAAGGTTATGTACCAGTCCTGCTATAAAGTTTATTGACCTATGAGGAATCTCACTGCAATTCACCAGAATGTGCCTTAGTCTGTTCCTGACATCAAAGCCTTCCTCCACCAACTCTTTGTTTCAGTGATAGTCCCCAGAAAAAGTGGTTCCTCTCTGTGGAGCTTGTTAGGTGGATGTGGCTGGGGCCGTCAGCAATTCCTCAGCAAACCGCAAGACCTCCTAGTTCTGCCCCTGGCTCCGAGCAGGGCTGGCTTTGACGCTGGGTTGTGCAAGGGTTTGTTGATAGCATTTTCTCCAGCTGGGTTGGAGTCCACTGAGAAGGAAACGTGCCATTTCCCCGGACGCGTGTCCTGTTTTGGGAATGGTGGCTCTGCTGAGCTGCCTGTCCACCAAGTCGGTCACTGAGGTCTGTCTAATCACTGTTACAGTGGTCATGGCATTTGTCACGGCACCTTGCGACGGTTGTAGGAGACCACAGCCTGTAAGCAATCCAGAACCAGGAGGAAAACTCACTCTAATGTATAATCAAGTAAAGCAGAATAAATCATAAAATTCCATCTTAAGATTGAAGGAAAACCTTTTTTTTCCTAGTTTCGTGTTGCAGTTAGCCCAAGACTTTTTTTTTTTCCCACTGTGAAGTTGTTTCAGTTGGTAAATGTGCTTAACCTGTGCTATGCCGTATCTGTGTGCCGCTGGCCAGGCGGAGGGGAGGACCTTGCTCTCGCTCTTCTGATGGCAGATGGTATTCAATACCAGTCGATACTGCATCCAGTTTGCCGATGGTCTTTGTTTTTGTAGCTTTGTCAGGCTGAGCATCTGCCAGCCAATGTTCAGGTGTTTGGGATTTACAGGACACTTGACACCACCCTCTCTCCTACCTCTCTTTCTGAAGAAGGAGAAGGAAGATAGAAGTCTGAAAAGGTTGGGGAGTTTGGGTGTTGGTTTGCTAGGGGTTTTTTATGAAACAGAATTTTGACAACTTAAAAGTTTTTTGGTGTGTTTTTGGTAGTATGTCACTGTCTATCTTATTGTCAGGCACATCTTAATACGAGCAGTTCACATTCTTGTGGTGTCCAGTGAAGTTAGGACCAAATGGAAGTGCAAAAGAAAGCATGGTCTTTTGCATGGAGATACAGTAGCGGGCAGCACTTCAGCCTCTGCCTTGTATTTGATGCCCCAATGTTGCTTTAATGTGGAGGAACGAACAGCTTGAGAGTAGTTTTCTGTCCCCCTGCCTTTGGGGAAGGCTGTTAAAACAGGTGATGTTCTTTAGCTGTTAGGAAGTGATGCATCTAATGTCACCGAATGGAAAACTAGCTCTGCTGGAGGTAATTTTAGTAGCTGGTTCGTTTTACTTCTGGGGAATCCGCATCTGGCGGATGAGGGAGGTAGTCCCTTGCTAGGTTGCTTATATCCCTGGGGTTGTTAGAGGCTGGTTACTATTCCCAAAGCACTTAGGGTTCCCCCGATGAAAGTGCAAAGTATTGCTGCTGTTATCATGATGCAAAAATAACAGACCTCGTAAAATTTTGTCGGGGCTTTCCTTACAAAAGACTTAATTGTGTAGAGAGGGCTGGCAATATTTATTTGCATGCAATTTCCTGCCCCGGGGAGCTTGAGATTGTAGCGGACAAAGGACAGATGAAGGGTTGGAGAAGGGACGCGAACATGCAAGCGATTGATTGAGGTGACACTTGGCACACATCGTGCTGAGGCCATGAGTTTTGTAGAGGTTTTTCTTCTTCCTTTCCCATGCCGGTTAGTTTACTTATTGCCTCGTTTTGTGCTTTACTGCACATACCGTGTAGCTTAATCCATTGCCGTTCTCTGTTCCTAGCCCATACCAAGGTCCTGTCACCCTCCTTTCTGGCAGAAGGGAGACTTGAAAGATTGTTCCTGCAGGTTGTGTTCCTACTAAATGCTCCTTTTCTGTAATTTTGTCTCTTAAACTTGGGCGCAGGGTACAGTTAGTGTCTTTATAAATATTCTAGCTCACAAAATTCCAACTTGATAGTGGCTAAATGTAGTTATTTTGAGTAGGTCTCTAAAGATGTGACTTAATTTTTGGGATGTTTTAAAGGGAAGAGCCTTCTGTTTCACAATGTGAATGAAAAGAGCATTTAACTTTGCTGTTATTTCCTAAGTAAACAGAAGCATGTGCTCTTTCAGCGTGAATTGGGGAGGGTTTGTTTGTCTTTAGCTCACAAGTGTGTTGTAGAGGTAAATTGGGGAAAGAGCTGCAAGCCAAGCAGGCAGCCGGGTGTCTGGAGCATCGCACCTTGTTCTCGGATGATATGTAGGCAGCGGTTTTGCAGTGATGTTAGCAGAGTAATCTTTGCATGGTGTGCTTCAGCAGATGCATGCTGTGAACCATGAGAAACTGGCTTTGTCCAGCGGTTCTGATTTCACACACGCTAAGCGTCAACTCGTAAAAATCATCTCTCCAGGCTACTTGTTCAGGCTGTAATGTGTGAAGCAGCGCTGGAGTCAGAGTAGTAAAGCCCGAAGTTAGATTGTGATTTGTAGGAGCGGAGAACGGCGATGACATTTCTGATGCTCAGTGTGGCCATCTGACCCTTAAGACCGTGTTACAGCCATCTCTCTGCCTTTTGTCGCCGGATCGTTCACATCAGATTTGTGCAATCCTGTGGGCTGGGTTGGGGCTGCGCTGCCGGGCTGCATGGGGTTGGCTTTGTGTGAAAGCCTCAGCGCAACTGCAGTGGTGTCACGCTGCGCTTGGAAAATTAAAGCATGTTTGGAGTTGTCTCTAATGGCAGCATAAATGTGTGTAATAACAATGGTCTTCTCGTTTTGCCTCCACAGAAATGGAATCGGTTTGGAATTTGCAGAAGCAAGGTAAGGATATTGGAAGGAATAAATAAACCAAATTGTTCCGTCCTGCTCTGTTGGGACAGGTGTTGAGAGATGCCCGAGTTTGGTTCTTCAGCGCTTGCTGTTTGTAGTCTGAGTTCATCTGTGTTTTGGATGGCTAAAAGTCGGGACAGTAAGCTTCCCCATAATGGTGGGGTGTTCAGAGAGAAGCAGAGTCTCTAAAAGAGAGAGAAAACCAATGTCAAATTAGATTTAATGAGTCTTCCCTGTGTGTATGCAATAATCGCTTTCTATTTCTGGTGTTGAGTGTCACACCCAAGGATAAGTTTTAAATTCTGGTGTATCCCCACACTTCACCTGTGAAGATGTTCTCTGTCAGCCTGTGGGAAGAGCAGTAAGTGGAGACTCGTGTGCTTCTTGCAGCGTTGCTGCCCAGGGGTGTAACGTGGGGAGCAGGCACTGCTCTGTTGGGGTCAGCCAGGGCTCCTGAGTGCATTTGCAGGAGGTGGTGTCGCTGAGGGTCCTAAGGAAAAGTTTGGTAGTGGCTGAGTACCTTGCAGATTTCTTGTGAATGTCTTCAGCCACGGGTCCTGAAAGTAGCTTGTTGAAAACTTAGGATTTTGCTTTCTTTCCAGATCCCAAAAGGATAATCACTTACGATGAAGCCATGGATCGCCCGGATCAATGAAGGTAGCAAGACGAGACTGCCTGTTATAACCTTTCTGCAGCATTTGTGCTGTTCGTGGGGGACAAAAGGCTTTTATGCTCCTTCTAAATCTTCAGTGCAGCAGAGGAACCATAACTAGAATCACAGGATAATATATACAAATATATATATAGTTATTTAAAAATGGCAACTGAAAGTAATTAGACTTCTTAAGGAATCTGAAAATTTATTTCAACGAGACTACACACGTGATTATTTAATCTCCGGTACTGAATAGATTTTTTTCGTTTTTTTGTTTTGTTTTTGTTTAAAGAGTGAATGCAAGTGATTAACAAATACAGACTCAATGTACAAGCCCGGTTCTAAAGTTTCTGCTGTCGTCTACATGGGCAACAGCAACCCACTGGAGAGGCATTTCCACTTGACAAGGTTTCTGTTTCTTGTTCTGTGACTGTAGTGACACACTAATCACAGGGAAATCAGGATGATTCACCATCCTTCATCTCCCCTTTTCCTTCCACCTCCCCTATTTGGTTTTTTTTTCTGTTTTGTTTTCCATTGAATGCTGGAGAAACGCCTTGAAGTTTGCAGAGTTTCTTTTTTTTTTTTCCAGAAAATTATAATCCGCATGTTTTGCCAGGAGTAAAGCAGCCAATCCTATGCTGGGGATATTGTCTTAAAGCATCATTCTTCTGGGGGAAAGATGGTAATAACTGCAGTTCTAGGATGCATGGTGAAGTCACACAGTTGACCTGGCTCCGGTTACACGTTGGACTATTGCAACTGAAGAGTTCTTTCATTTTAAAAGACAACGTGCAAAAATAAGCAATCTGTTTAGGCATTTAATATGAAAAAAAAAACCAACAAAAACCCACTGTTCCCATAGTTTAATGCCATTGTATTACTGGGAGCAAAAAAAAAAAAATCTTCTGCTTTCAACTGTAGGTGCTTCATATTTGCTCTGTCTGTCTCCTAACACTAAACGTGCTGGATTTTTTTCCCATTTTCGTTGGAAAACTGAAGAGGAATTGAGTTCTGCTAACTTTCACCCTTCTTGAATTTTTTTTTCTCTTTAAAAAAAAAAAAACACAAAAAAAAAAAAAGAAAAAAGACAAAAACAGAAAAAAAAAAAAGGGAATTTGAATCCTTTTCATTTTGTCCATAGAACGCCAATGGCTGGTCTTCCCACACCTGCCCATTGGAAATGCTCTTTTATATTTTAATGCAGTCTGTGTATTTCCGGGCTCTGCTTCTAATTATCTCTTAATAAAAATATATTTTATTACAAAAATGGAGGACTTAGGAATGAAAATAACAATTTAAAAATTTAAAAAAAAAAAATCCCGAGGAAGGGAAAGCTTCCTAGCAGTGGTAGAGAAGGCTGAGCAGACTGCAGACTCCAGCTGTGTAACCCGCTCTGTCCCATTGCAGCTTGTGTAGCGCATCCAAATCATCTTGGGGTTGGGTAGTTTTTCTGGGTTTTGTTTTTTTTTTTTAAAAGGTGGAAAGTTCACAGGGTCCAGTGCAAGAGCAAGCAGTGAATGAAGCAAAAATGGGATTTCTGACCAGCCCAAGCTCCACACGTACCCAGTGCTCATCATCGGTGTTTGTGGCTGAATGCTGGCTAATACATGTCTGGGCATCAAGGTCAGCAGCAGCTGGTGTGTCCTAAAATTAGATTGGACCCTATGGGGCATTACAGGAAGCAGATAAGCCCAAGACCTTTGCCTACCCCTCGTGCTTAGATTTATCCACGCTTTTTTTTTTTGTTAACTAGGAGTATGTAGCATGCGTTTTTTAATTGTTTTTATTCTTTTAATAAGATTGTTCCTGAATGAGACGCTTAGGTTCATGGTGGGACAATGAAACTTAATTCTGTACCTTTTGTAAGATTGCTAGCTTTCTGCCATGCTTAGTTTTAAAAGTTTGACTATGGATTGCCTACTCCATTTTATGTATAAAATACTATATAGTATAATACTGTAGTGTAATACTATATAGTAATCATGTATTGTATCAGTCCAGGTTCAGAAATGTGTGGTTGGCCAGTCGCAAATAGTTCTGTTTCACCTATAAACTGTACCACCTTTACAGGTGTGTGTAACTTTCAGATGTATAACATGTTTACAGCTGTGCCCGACATCTAGTCCTCTGATGTTCCTATTTTTAATTCTGTTGAGTCTCCCAACTGCTTGCCAAAAGTCGGAATCGCCTCCGGCTCCGCTGCGGAAGAGCTGGGGCGTTCCTGAGCTTTAAAGTGTTGAACAAACTGGACGGTGGGACTGGGAAGATTAAAGTGGAAAAAACGTTCTTTTATTATTATTTTCAAAAAGTTGAAGGCTAATAGCAAAGTTTCCAGTTTGTTTTACTGGCTTTAAGGCTCTGCTGTGTATTTCTTTGCCTTGTGTAGTCACTTGTCGCCTTAAGGGCTGGGTTCCATTAAAAAAAAAAAAAAAAAAAAAAAAAAGACACACACAAAAAAAAAAAGACAAAACCAAACCCTGTTTTGCTTACCTGGGGTCTGCGCTGTCCTGGTACCCCTGCCCCCAGATCCCCTCTCGGGGCTGGCGCGATGCAGCAGCTGAACAGCAATAACCCATGCTGAATCTGACCCTGCGTGTTTAGAAAGGTCTGAGTCTTGCTGAATACTTGAGGACGCTCATCTTGGCCTAGTCCAGTCTATCTCCTAAATAGCGAAAGAAGTGCTGAAAGAAACACGGTTCGAGTGATGGGTTGGTTTTTCCCTGATGTTCGTCCCTACTGCTTTTCCTCGCTGCACGTGGCCCCTTGCCAGTGGTACCCATCCAGAAACACCCCTCTGCAGCTTCTCTGCTGTATTTCTGACCATCCTCTCTTCAAATGTCTGTCTGTCTGCCTCCGTGAGCTCCACGGTGTGTGCTCAGCGCTAAGCAGTTAGGAAATCCTTCCTCCGAGCTCCTGTAGCTCTGGCATGCCGGCACAGGCAGTATTTCTGGGATAGACTATTGCCTAGAGCCAGGCAGGACCGTGGAAGAAACTTCCTTGTGCCGTCATGTAACTCACCCTGTCGCTGTCTGCAGTCCTCCCGAAGTCCTCACACAATTCTTTACTGAGCACTTATTAAAAATATCTTAAGATTTAATCTGTTTTCTGATTATTTTTGTGTAAACTTATAAAAAAAAAAAGAAAAAAACTGAAATTGAGCTGTGACTAATTTAGCGCATTTAAATAATGCTAAGGTGTTACTGATAAGTCTTATGTTTTGGGTTTTTTTGTTTTTGTTTGACTCAGAGTATTAGTACTGTAGCATAAACCAAATACAGCCCGGGAAGGGGTGCAGCAGCCTTCTTTCCCGGGTCTGCGCCCGAGGGTGTCTGTGCGTGCACGCATGCAGGGGGGCAAGGAGCTGACGGTGCGTGTGCGAGCATCTCACGTGAGGAGAGTGAGCATGTATTTATTTGTGCCATTGTTTTCATTACACTGAGTAAAGTTTTAAAACAAAAACCCTTAAATATGTGTAGTATCGGAAAGTGGCACTAAGGGTGAAATCATGACCTATTTTTTTATTAGCTATGAAGATACTAATTCAGGTTAAGGCTTCTCTCCCATTTCTGTTCCCGTTGTGGGTCTGACGACTCCCTTTCCTCTAGTTCCCTTGCCAGGCTTTCTATTTATTGGAAGAACAATTCCTGCACGGGCAGGGGCTGTCTCCTTTCTCCTCTGGTCTTTCCCCACCGCTCCTCCTCTGCCGGCAGGTCCTGCCGGGTGTCTTGTACAGGCTCTTGTGCAACACGGGCTGGAGCGCGTACCGTCGGCCAGATCCAGCACGGGATCTGCTCTCTCTTTGGTGGATCAGGGAGTGTTTCCTCCACTCCCAAGAGATGATTTAAAAGCTGCTCTGTGCTCCTGTCTCCGGCGACGGTGGTTTGGGGACCTTCAGCCTCTCTGCTCCCTCCCGCTCCACCTGTCCGGTGGATTGGCAACGCGATGGCTTTCAAGGTTTGGTTGGAGTTTGGTTTTGGTTTAAACCCACCTCGGTCGTCCGTGAAACCTGTTTTCGTCATTAGGAATCTCTCGTCTCTTTGACAACGTGGGTAGCTCCAGGGCATGGTTTCTTTCGCTAACCCGCTTCAAACCATCGCCCTTTCTGAACTGTAAATCCCGCTGTTTGCCTTTGCTGCTGTGAACTTCTTTGAAATGTGGAAAAAAAAAAAAAAAAACAATTCTCATTAGGTTGCAAGTATGCCAGCTATTCGGCAGCTGGGAGCGGGTAACGGGGTGAACCGGCTCGCTAAATCGAAAGGAAAATCGCTTACTGCTAGGAAAAAAAAAAAGAAAAAAAAGCGAGATGGAAGTTGTCGCCTCAGTTGCATGTGTAATTAGTGCTTTTCACCTTCAAGAGAGTATCGTAGCACGATAGCATCCTTTCCAGAAGTGGCCAGTGGGTGACCTCAGGGACATCTGGGAGCGATGGCATTCACAGACGTGTTTCAGAACTGCTGGTAGTTTTCCTGTGCGTTCAGTTTTTGCTCTTGATTCAGCATTTTCAGTAAATTGCTATGGTGTCTGAAGCTTTCAGGAGTCTTGTCCCTAGAAGATTTTTCTGTACATAACGTCCGTAGTGATTTGTTTTCCTTACAGAGGCTGTTTACAAGGGAGATGGTCGAGGTCAGGAGGGGAGAGAATGAGGCTACACATCATTTAAAGCTGCTACACATTTTCACACCAGTGCGTAAGGCAGGAGGAGGGCCGGGGCTGGAAGAGCTCTAGCATGGTGGAGTAGCCGAAGAAGCCAGAGTAATTCTAGCTTTGGCCACCGCGAGAGCATTTTTTCCAGGTGAAAATACCCTAGCGCAAGCAGTTGAGAAGCAGGAACCTGGGCTGGTGCGAAGGAGCAGAAGATCTCGGTCTGCGCTGCCGGACGCGCTGCCTTCCAGAGATTACAGAGCTTTAGACATTTGCACAATACGTGTTACACCACAGGGTAAGGCTGGCGTCCTTGTCTCCTGCTCGGGATCCTCAAAAGTGGCATCGCTCTGCGGCGAGACACCGAAGCAGCGGATGTCTGGGGAGGTACAAGAGAGCTCCGCGGTGGCCTTGTGTTCGGGGCGTGAGACCCTGGGAGGCACGCTGCTGGGGGTGCCGGGCTGCTCTCTGTCCTGGGACAGGAGCAAAAGTCGTACCTGTGCTTTCAGCAGGGGATGCTGAGCTGTATTTATCTTGACTGTTAATCAGAAAGCTTCATACAACGTGTCCAGAGCTCTAAAGCCATTTTGTAAGATAGCAGTATCCCTTTTCTACAGCCTTATTAATGAGTAGAGTATCTTTAAAAAGAAGAAAAAAAAAATATAGTTCATTTCTTTCTGTGGTATGAAACTTGTGTACTGCGAACATACGAACGTTTAGCAAAACCACAACTTACAGTTTTCTTAAAAAACAAAGGAAAAACAACAACAAAAAAAAAAACCTGTCTGCTTTCCATACGGTCTTTCCTCAGGTGCTAAATAAGGGTTCCAAAAATGGATACTGCTTTAGGAGTTTCTGCTTTATTCTTAAAATACATATTTTTTTGCTTAGGTGGTGTAAAGATATTTTAACAAGAATGTTTTTTTAATGTAAATAAGATTGTGTCTTTAATTTTTTGTTTTATCTCCTTTTTGTCTATATTGAATAGTCTAATTTTCAGTTTATCCTTTTGAGAAGGACCCTCTTATGACCTTCCTTGAAGACATTTCATTAAGTGTTGCTGCATTTAAGAATGAATCTACAACTGTTCATTGTCTTGGATTAATGCTGCTGCTGCTATAAGTAACCCTGAAAATCAAGAATGTGTGATGCACTTTTTTTTACATGACCATATAGTTCCTCTGCAGATAGTTGAACCCTCCTGTAACACAGCCACTAACTCTGCGGGTAGCGTAGGAACTGGGGGAGCCGGGGTGTAGGAGAGGGGTGTACCTGATTTTGGTGCTGACCTACGGGAATTTCTATGCAAACGCAAGCAAAGGAGAACTCTTTAACTTGAGAGAACACTGTGCATTTTTATTTTTTTTCCTCTCCTTCCTCTTCTCAAGCTGCTATTGGAAGGGTAGTACAAATCCCTGAGGTTTTCAACTTCTCCTTCCTCGATGGCTGGCGGTGTGGGAAAGATGCCTGAGTAACTTGTAAGGTAGAAAAATCTCGATCGACTATTGTCTCGTCTCCGGTTTTAATATTTCGTTTTCTATTCGAATCTATCTATGGAAGGAAGTTGCTCATCTCTGCAAAAAGATCTTTTTAATGCTTTATCTCAATGTGAAGTTAATCAGCAGTATTAAAGATTGCATGGCCTCCTTCCTGCCCGTGCCCCCGGCGCTGGGGAGTCGTGGGCTCCTTCTCCAGCTGCCCTCGGGTGCCGGGGAGCGGTCGGTGCCCCGAGCCGGATATTTTCTGAGAAGAAAGCCATGCCACGCCGTCTACCCAGCCGAAACCTGGTGGCTGAGACGTGAAAGCCCACGGCTTAGGGAGTAGTGGAGGGAGGTCTCGCTGCATCGAGGTGCTGCTGCGGGGCGCGGGCAGGTCCAGAACCTCTTGTCGTCTCGGGTCACACCTGGACCACCACAGGGGGACGCGTACCGTGAAGGAGGAGTTTACTGGAGGGAAAAAAGGGAATTTACTTGACTATTTATAGAAGATCCTTTAGGAAAATAAAGTACCTCTGCAAAGTGAGGGAAGAGAAAGGA